GGAGCAGGGGGCTGTCGGTGAGGAGTGAGGGGCACTGTCAGGGCTGGGAGGGCAGGGGGCTGCTGGTAAGAAGGAAGGAGCACTGGTTGGGCTGGGGGGAGCAGAGGGCTGCTGGTCAAGAGTAAGAGGAACCAATACGGCCCAGTGGGGCAGGGTACTGTGGTTTGGGAGTGAGGGGCAGCAGCAGAGCGGTGGGGGGTTGGCTAGGGAGCAAGAGGCAACAGAATGGGCAGGGACAGGGCACTGTCATATCACGGTCCCCCCCCAGTCATAGTCTCCCCCCCCACACACAACAGATGTCTTTTTTGGAACTGAAAATATGGTAACCCTAAGTGGGATCATTTAACAATTCTCAGAATAAAATATAATGAAGCTCAACTGACATTTCTGGGAAAATAAAATCCTTCATAATTGATGCACAGAAGAAATATGAAGAGAACAATATTACCCTGAAGCTTCCCTACATTGTTTCACCAATTTTCTTCTTTCTCCTGGTGCTCAAGATCTCTCCCTGCTTCTAGTTAGATTTTCCATGTATAGTGTCACCAGTGGAGAAAATATCCTTTTTGTTTTTATTTCCAAGTTTGTATGAAAGGCAAATAAACAGGATTGTACAGCACTACAGCTGTTGATGCCAATTCCACTGCTTAAAAGTGATTTTTCTTGCCAGTGTTTTCCCTCTCTGCTTTTCTTCCAAGTAACAACATGCCCATGTGAGCAATCTCCCTCTCCCAGTTTCACCCTTTGTCAGTTTGAGTACTGCTGATCACGTGGCTATGACTCACCCCACAAAAATGTGACCTCGTAAATAGAATTCACCTCCTGACCTTTGCAAGATCTGCATCACACAGTGATACCCAATTCTGTAGTTAGGAACCCAGCATTTTCCATGACAGGAATTGCAAATATGTTAGCCTTCTGAGGAAAATCATGACTTTCTACAGAGTGCACCCAGGGAAGCAGCTTCCAAAACAAACCAAATAAACAAAAAACCAGAACAAAACAAAAATAAAAACACCACCCCAATAGTTTTGAACTGAAAGCAATCTGTGTGTGTACAGAGAAACAGAAGTTTATCCCTTTTTTGACTTCTGTTCCATGATATACCTTTTGGATTTTTGATACCACAGTATGAAAGCACACTGTCTTCTCCAAATTGAGTTAACATTAAAAAAAAATGCTTAAGAAAACAAGAGGACTTAAGGAAATTAGAACAACAGTAGTGATATGGCCACTCCACTAGCAGAGAGGATTTTCCACATGACTGATATATATAGCCACTGTCTTCTGAAAGCTTTTAGAAGTTTTATTTCAAATACAAAGCAAGTGTGAAAGAACTGATGAATGAATAGTGTTGAAATGATAATGAAAGCTAAGTACAAACACTCAGAAAGCCTGAGGCCGAATCTATCTGAGTTACGTGGTTTTCTGTAAGCAGCGTAGTTTAGATCAGTAGTAAGCAGTACACACGTTCACTCTTTGGCGGACTGGGGGGGGGGCAAATCTTAAACTGAGTTCCACCATTTTTAAACCACTCCATGTGTGCTGAACTTCTGTTCTGTTATGGGTATAGACCGGTTTCTGACCACGTATACTGATAAAGTGTAATTTCTGTACCTTTGGTTTAGTTTTATATGTGAATTTCTGTATTGAAAATGCTTGTGTATTTTTCAAATTTAACCCTAACTGAGATTCTGGTGTTTCAAAAGATGTTTTTTGTAATAATCTTATATGGATTTTTGCCTTTCCTTACTGGTATGGATTCTTAGACTTCACTCCATCTCAACTAAAATTACAACCCTAAAAATCCTAAGAAGCATGCTTAAGATTGTGCATTTTGTATTCGCATGAGTTTGTCCCACTGAAATCCAGATCTGCCATGCATATCTGATAAAAAAGTTTTCCTTTAAAAAAAGAAATTTGGAAGAGTATCAAAACTATAGAAGCTTAAAAAAACATACATCATACACAGTGCAGACCTTGGAATTAGTAACCAAAGAGGGATTCATTTCAGCCCATTTTTATCTTATTGGTTTCTGTTCCTTCCCGCATGCATTTTTATTTTGCTTGACCTTTGTTTTGTTTCATTTTTGTTTTGGCCAGTGTCTTTCTTTTTCATTTCCTTCTTTATTATTACTATTCATCTGGATTTCCAAAAATGGATTGCCTATATATTACTTATTAATACCAGTACTTGAATAAGCTACAAAATACTGGCAAATTAAAAGTTTTTACCGTTTCGCTTTAATAGTTATATTGTGAGTTGTAAAACACTTTCACAACTGATGTCCACATTTTACCTTTTCACTTTAATAGTTATATTGTGAGTTGTAAAACACTTTCACAACTGATGTCCACATGAATCATATAAACTCATTTCATAGAAGAGATGATGTCTACGGTACACATCTGATATTATTGCAGACTGTCCAAGTTCTCTTTACTTACAGAGTAAAGAGAACCCAGGTTGAGTTTTTAAGGGGGGAGAGGGGGAGGGTTGACAGGCAGAGTAATATATTAGTCCTCTTTCAACTTGCAGTATTGCACTGAAGAGCAATTTGTAGCTTTTATTCTTTGGCTGACATATTATCATAAGATTTCTGCAAAGCTATATAGAAACTATAGGAGGGAATAGAAAGTAGTTGCATTATTCCACAGCTCAAGGTCAATATTCCACCCAGTCACCAAAAGCCTGAGTAAGCAAGTTTTAGTTAGTCAATGCACATCTCGTACATCTTCTGTGCATCTGATTTAAATGCAATTGAAGTACAGTAATTGCAGTGCAGCAGATCAGAGGCAGAAGTTCAATGCACATAAACTGCTTTTAAAATGGCCAGGACCAGTTTAAAGATAAACCTGGATGGATGTAGTATCAGACTTAACTGATTTATGTTAAATCAATTTATTAACATTCTATCCCAGATCCCCTCCAGATTCAAGATAACCCACAGTCCCCCAGCATCCCAGGATGCTTTGCACCTCCCCAGCAAGCCACCTCTCTCCTCCTCCAGTAGGCAGGCTAGCCTTGGGCCAAGTGGTCTGCTACAGCCGAGCAGGGAAGCATGCTCTACATCCACCAGCATCTGACCTGGGCCACTGCAGGCATGTGACTGCATTTCTGGAATCAAAAGTGAATGTCTGTTAACATGCTTACCAGTTCAGTTTATGCAGCTTCAACTAACCTGTGAAGATTGAATCGATTCAGCCTCTGACTTTTTGACTGTCTGTACTTAGCCCATAGGGCAGGTGTTTCATGGGGTATGATGGGATTTACTGCAAGGTAGACATAAAAAGTGGTGTCTATACACATCACGTTTCCCTGGGAAACTGGCAAGAAATTTACCAGTCTTTTAAATGGTTCAGAATTGCTGACTTTAAGCACCGATTCTTCTTCTTTCTCCACATATGCCTGGACAGAAGGAATACTGCAATCCCAGCATGGCAATGCTAAACAATGCCACTGTCAGAAGCAACACAGAGAAAATGACATAGAACCAAAGGGAAAAAAAGAGCTAAAAGGGATTACCAGAAGTTATTGAGGCTACCACCTTCCTCGATACAGGATCCTCCCTGTCTAATCTATAGCAAACAAATATTTGTCTAACATGCTCTTAAAAACTTCCAGTAATAGTGATTCCAGTCTCTCTCAGTTCTCTAGTCCAGTGACTCACCCGAACCCCAGAGATGATAAATTCTTCTTAATAGATATCACAAATATTCTATGTTAACTTTTAAACCTATTACTTGTCCTTTTTGTCCCATTCCTGTAGACACAAAGACCAACTGATTGTTACCCACTTTATAACAGCCCTTTTTGTTATAAAGACTGTTATCAAACTGTTATCACTAAGACGAAATAACCACAGGTATTTTAGACTTTCAGTATGTTGTGCTTTTTAGAATTTTAAATCATTTATGTTGCTCTCCTCTGGACTCTTCCAATTTTTCCATGTCTTTCTTGAAGTGAGATGCAGTGCTGAGAACTGGACATACTACTCTTTGATAACACTTAGTGTCAAAACAGGTGGAAGAATCAGTTCCTGTGGCTTGCATACCAGTTCCATTAATAGATCCCAGTATACAATTAGCATATTTTGCCATTATATTGATTTATATTCAAGTTTGTGATCCATTAAAACTTCCAGGATCTTTTATGCATCCTAGCAGATGCAGTACTACATCATAGCCAGGCCTTCTTCATTTTGTATTTATGTTTGGTTGTTCCATCTTAAGTGTTATACTTTGCCCTTGTTCTCATTCATCTTATTTCAGATCATTTTCCCAGTTTATCAAGGTCGTTTTGAATTCTAGTCCTGTCCTTTAAAATGACTGCTCTCTCCTCAGGCACAAAACCCATAACCTTGTCACCAAGTTCTGAAACCCAAGGATCCTAAGCAAGGCTAAAGTTAATGGGGAGCATGACTCATCCTCTGTGATTGTGCAGAGGTCCATGAAGAAAAAGCTAAGAGAAGGCAGCTCTGTTTTTTCAGTGTCATGACATGCATAGGAGTTGTCTTTGTTTCCCTTGGATACACCTTTTTGAAAGGAAAATCTGGTTCATTGTGTTTGAAGTGCAGGTTTGTTGTTTGCCCTTGACTTCCTTGAGCAGCTCTGTTTACCTGGCAGCTAGCTCTGCCCCAGGTTCAAATAGGTAGCATTCATATTTTAAATAATATTATCTGTAAACACCAAATGCATCTCCTATGTAAAACATAGCAAAAATAATAATAATAAAAGTACCTGTTAAATTCTTGGGCAGCTACACTTCTACTTATCCATTTCTAATTGAGACACACTATAGACCCACAATGAAATGTTTCTACTTTATCTAATTGTGGATCATATCCATCCTTTGATACAAATGCAATTGCACTGGAGATGAATTTGGTCATTTCTTTTTATTCATTTGTATGGAACACGTGTTGATACGTAAAAAAATCACTGTATAGTAAATGAAGGGTTAACTTTCAACACTAAGTAAGTTTGGTCCCAAAATGGAAACTAAGGCATTGACTCTGGATAGGATTTTGTATAAATGGTTAACAGACAGGAGGACTGAGAAGGTAAAAGCTACACAGAAAGTTTACTGGGTAGTGGATTGAAATAGTTTCCTTATGTGAGGAGGTGTTGAGTTACAGCCCAAGGACTGAGAGCTGGGTGGAGAGAAGAAAAACATCTGATCTGCAACCTTTTCCTCATCTTAGGGTAACGTGTACAATAGTTAAATGAGACAGACCAAGGAAGTATAATGTGGAGCTTATATTTGTTGCTTCTTCGGTGACTTAATGCCTGTGTTTACTGAGGATATGAAAATGAAATGCAGCTGGATTAATCATGAAAAGCCGAGGAGACGCACATGCCCTGTTGTAAAATGCCACGCAGGCAAAGACTGACAGGCAGCAGGATCTGAAGTTTTCCCTGAATCACTATTCAGACGTGTTCCAGGGAGAGGAGGCTGTATAACTCCTTGGCTCCTTAAGGTAAGAGGCTCAGGGGGCAAGTGCCAGAGAGAAGACAGATAAACTTAAAGATGAATAAAATCCGGAAGTTTTTCCGAGGGAGTGGGAGAGCTCTTGCATTTATATTTGCTGCCTCTGTCATCTGGCTGATCTTTGACATGGCAGCTCTCAGGCTTTCATTCAGTGAGATTAACACCAAGGTTCTCAAAGAGGAGATGATCAGGAGAGAACGGGAAAAGTTCAGAGTTTGGCGCAGCCCAGAGAAGATCCCCGAGAGCACCAGAAAGGAACCAGAACTGCCCCCAAAGGGCTGGGAAAGGGGGAGGCTCAGCAATGAGGAATTTAGAAATATAGAAGAGAAAATGGTGAAGGCTGTAAACAAAATAGACAAACACATGAATGAAAAGAAGATACCAAAAGCAACAGAAAAGATAAATGCAGCCTCTAAAGCAGCCTATGAGAAAATGACTGCACTTGGGACCATCCCAGTAAAATTGCTGAGCCCCCATCCCTCTGTTCCCATGGAAAAGGCAGGGAGAGAAAAGCATGAAAAGGCTGCAAACTCCACAGATCTGCTGAAAACAAAGCAATCAGTTCCCAAAAGGATTCAACAGATTCCGTTAGTAACAGCAACAAGGAGATCAGTTGTCAAATTAACACACAGAGCAGTTTCTGTAAACAACAAAGTTGCACAAAAAGTGTATGATCCTGTAACAAAGGCATCAAAGAGAAAGGAAGGCAAATTAAAAATTCAGCTTACAGATAAAGCCTCTTTGGCTGGATTAGAAAAGGAATTGCCTGCTGGGAGAAACCTGAAGGAACCCCAAAACAAATTCCCACTACCAGACTTGCCAGCTCCTAGGCAAAACATCCCTGCAAACCCAAACAGGACAGAGATGAAAGCACTAAATGCTTCATACCTACCTGTCAGCAAACTGGCTGCTGCTACCAGAGCAGAGAAAAAGGGATTGTCTATAAATGCAACAGAACTGGGAAACCTGCCAAAAGAAGATGAATCAAAAGTTGCTCATGAAAAGAAACCAACTTCCTCTGAACATCAGTTTGTCATTATTAATAAAGATGGTATCAAAATGAGCAGCCCAGTGTCCCAGGACCTCATACCCAACTCAAAAGAATACTTGCCAAAGAGACCAGAAAAGAGTATAAAACAGCAACTTGTTAGCAACAAAAGTGAGGACAACCTTAACGTGAATATTGTAAACAAAGCATCAGTTCTTAAGCATCGAACTAGGAAAGCAATTTTGACTGAAGATCTACAGCTAGCAAAAGTCCACAAAGTCAATTTAACTGATAAGGACCCAAAAAAGAAAACAGATGGAAGAAACAGTACAGCTCAATTGAGAAGAAATACTGAGATGCACAAAGTTTTAACCGTTGATGTGACACTTTTCCCAAGAGATCCCAAAGCCCCTGGTCAGTTTGGCCATGCTGCTGTAGTCCCTGATGATAAGCAAGAAGAGGCAAAAAGCAGATGGAAAGAAGGAAACTTCAATGTCTACCTCAGTGATTTAATCCCAATAGACCGAGCCATTGATGACACAAGGCCTGCTGGGTAAGATCCATTTCCCACTACATAAATGATCCCAACCAAATGCAAATTGTATTTGATCCCTGCCTGCTTTCTGGAATGCTTTTAATCTGCATGTGAAGGGTCCAATAACTTCAGGTTATCAAGTGTTTCCTCAGACTGCAGCTACTGAGAGTTTATTATTATACAATTGGATCAAATTTTCAGAAGCACCTGAAATTTAGAAACCTCAGTATTATTCACAATAGAGTCTTGAGTGCCTGGGGAAGTCAGTGGGATTTAGCATTACTTTGGAAAATGGAATTTAGGATCCTAAATTGCTTGGGCACTTCAGAAATTGTGACCCAGTTTATCTGGCATACCCACATTTAAAAGTTAATCGTTACAATATCAGGTCTTTTGACATTTGGATGTTTGATTCACACATGAATGCTGTCACAGCAAAGAGCTCAATTTCAAAGTTATACTCCAGGATGGCTCTGAGAAGGAGATATTTGGGAACCTCAAATGCATGAAAATGCACAGCACAAAAATACCAGAATTTTATTATTTGAAAAAAGAAGTTGGCCATGAAACCAAATATCTCCTTGAAATTTTAGATGCCCCTGAAAATGGCATGTTTGTGCTCTAAATGAGAAAAAAAAATTGATGGCTCAAAAAGAAAGGTGGTATTTAAGGTAGTGCCCTGATCCCACCTCCATCTGGGCTTTTACACATAGCAGTAAAAGATGTAACCTCAGGTTCACCATTACCAAACCTGTGACTGGGATTGCTCTAAACACAGCCTGTATCTTACATTCTTCTTCTAAAGCATTTTCTGCTTGCCATCATCACAGAAAAGTCTGTTTGCTATACAGAGAAGGTAGACCTAGGCTGACCTGGAAACTACAAGCCTCCCTCAGTTACAGAGAGACCACTAAATGCATAACAACAAAAGCACAAACAGAAGTGCAGCTCCCTGATCTAACTCATGGTGCTTCACAGAAAGCGCCTTGAGTTAGACTGACCCTCCCAGTCCAACAGATGTTAGCTGTTGGGTTGGGAGAGCGGGGGATTAAGCTTCAATTTGGAGCTGAACCTGTGAGAGAGGCTGCCTGTCTGCAGCCTCTTCCTCTAGCCCTGCCTCCCTTTCTCCCACCCCCCGCCCCCAGTGCTGTCTCAGGATGGGAGGGGAAGAAAGCAGGGGAGGAGTGTCCAGCTACACTGACGTAGGAGATGGGTGGACTGGAGCCTCTCGCCTCAGGAGAGCTCCAATCCACCTGCTCCTCACTCCAGCATGGCTGGCCAACCCTAGAACAGACTGCCTTCCTGCCTTCTCCCCCTCCCATCCTGAGACAGCACCAGGGATGGACCACCTTGGAACACCTTCATTTAAACCCACAGATAATGAGGTTTAATTTGCTGGGAAACTGGAGCACTCTACAGCTGTGTGCTTCTGTTTAGATATTGCTGTAGAACATTTTTAAGGGGCTGATCACGTGACAAATGTAATTTCTGTCTACACCTAAAATGCTTGGGACAACAAATGTAAAAACCAGGGATGGGAGTGAAGGTGAAAGTTTAATAACCAGGGTTCCAAAGAGGGGCACCAAGCAGAGAATCAGCTAGCTGCCAGAGAGGTAGCTGCCAGAGACAGGACTTTTGGCTAGATAGATATCTGGTCTGACTCAAAGGTGGCAACTAAAGTATGAATCCTGCTGCACATTTTCTACCCCATTCCTAACAGCTACTTTTCCTACTACAGCTTTCTCTTCCAGCTTCCTGGAATGTAAGCTATGTTTCATTGCACATACACTCCCTGGACTTTAATATGCTGTTACTTCACGTGGTCACTAACTTTGCTGTCATTTGCATGCATTTGCATCATTATCTGCCTCTCTCCTCTGTGTAATCTGCAATATTTTATGCAGGAATTGGCTGCATGATGCAAGAGGAATTCCCCAAGCCCTTACCACACTACAGGAGGAGTGAGACCAGGAGAGAGCAAACTTGGCACTGTTTTTTACTATGGAGGGTAGCACAGAAACCTAAGGAAATTAGAGGTGATAGGAGGCTAATATGTAGACAAAAATGCTGTTGGTAGTGCTTCATTCAGGGAACAAAGCTGTATTTATAAAACCATATATAGGAAATAAAAGATCCAGGGATCAAAAAAATCAGGATGTCCACCTTCCAGTCTCATCAGTGAATATAACCAGTGTTATACAGACATGCAGCATGATGAATCACAGATCTTGTTAAGATCAGAAAGTGGGCATATGCCCTGTTACCAAGGAGACACCCTATCCAAATATGGAAGTGTTGCAGGTGACATGGCATCTAAGCAAACTGCCCACATGATGTTGCAGTTTAGAGTACACCCTGCAACGATAACAGGACAGGAAGCACACTCGGCTACATGCAGAACTGCCTGGGATACTTTCCCTATGCTGGCAGCCTTTCCATTTCTAGAGGGCAAAGATTTCCTCTTTGTTTAATTCACAGAGTTACAGTTCCCTATCAGCAGATCTTGGGGCTCAGCCAGGCTGTCTAGGCAGTGCTGTCTGACATATGATAGCAAGGCAGGTGAAAAAAGATGTAGCCAATCACAGTAGTGCATAGCAACTGGGATAGGCCAATTGCTGACTCCAAAATATATCATTGTGTCTTGGAAAGTTTTTTTTCAGTCCACATCAGCAAAGGGCAATCCATATGCTTTGTACAGTGTCCCTTGGCAAACTGTTTGTATTTCACTGAATCTCTTGGAAAATTTATGATAAAATTTCCATTTTTTTCTCCTCAGCAGTCTCCCAGTCTCTCCTAGTTTACAACCCAGACCCTGTTTTGGTCTGTGTTGCAATACTGAGCTAGGACACTGTACCCCAAATCAGGCAAACTGTTTGTATCAGTTTCACATTTGTCTTTCTCTTTGTACAATACAAACAAAAACTGGGACAAAATCCCACTAGGCAAGGACAGAAATGTTTAATTAATGGTCCATAAACACTGTGGAACCAGCGCAGGGATGGGAAGAATGCCAAAAAAGCAAGTTAGGGGAAATCTAGATTACTTGCAGTGGACTAACCACTTGGTTTGCAAGTATGATATGGGATAAAGTCCTTTTGCAAAGAGTCAAATAACGAACCATTGATGCCACTGCTGCTCTGAGATGTCACTACAACACTGACAATGTATGATTGGTGTCCGTTTTCTCTGAACTTATGATCCTATAGCCCCTCCCAATTACCAGTGTTGCTCCCTTGAGCACATCTGTTTATTTGGAATAATTTAGGTTAATCCTGGTAATGTACAATCTAAAGCAGCGTCTTTTAGCAGAAGGGCAGTACTTGTTATATGTACCACACTAACTTGGTGACTAGGGAAACATGGCAGCAAACTCATGGGTCTTAGACACCATCTTCCTAACAGCAGAGGAAACGTGTTAGGCCACCAGCTGTACTTCACTGCCTCACTAGTAAGTCGGAGTACTATACGCTACTCCCAAACTCATAAATCAGGAGATCTAAGGAAACATTTTCAAAGGCATTTAAAGGGAGTTAAGAGCTTAAGCCCTATTGACTAGTCTTGTGGCTTAATCGCAAACTCACTCAGACACTTCAGAAAATTTTTCTTTCATCTAGGAATTGGAAGTAGTCTAAATCAACTCCACTGGAATGCAGAGTATGAAGCTATGGGACTAATTTTATTAAAGACAGAATTTAAGGGTGGGATTTTCAGAAGCATTCAACATTTCCTACCCACATTTGATCAGAGGGCAGGAAAACAGGCCTTATGATGACAGGTTGAGAACTATGAGACTCTTCAGCCTGGAAAAGCGTAGGCTTCGAGGGGACCTGGTGGCTGCCTATAAGTATATAAGGGGTGTGCATCAGGATCTGGGGGAATGCCTATTCACCAGAGCGCCCCATGGGAAGACAAGGTCAAATGGTCACAAACTTCTCCAAGACCATTTCAGGCTGGACATAAGGAAAAACTTCTTTACAGTCCGAGTCCCCAAGGCCTGGAACAGACTGCCGCCAGAGGTGGTGCAAGCACCTACTCTGGGCTCCTTTAAGAGTCAATTGGACATTTATCTTTCTGGGATCCTGTGACCCCAGCTGACTTTCTGCCTCTGGGACAGGGGGCTCGACTCGATCTTCTGAGGTCCCTTCCAGCCCTAATGTCTATGAAATCTATGAAATTAGCTGAATGTAATTGTAGCTATCAAAGTCAAGGGCATATAAAGGCAAAGTCAAGGGAAAAGTCAATGGCATGTAGCTATCATGCCATTGCCAAGGGCCAGTACATTTATGGTTTACAACTAAACCATATCAAATATCAACATTTATTTCTGACTGATCCAGTGATGATTGGTGTTTTGAGCTGAATTAATTGTGAGTCAATTATGAAGTTATTTGCATGCTATAAAAGGTATACTTGAAAGACGCACTTAGAGGAATGCTTACAGAAGCCCATTCTGGAGTTAATTTTTGATGCTAAATGCTAGAAAAGAAGTCAACACTTTGCACTTAACAGTTGGCTATGAGATTCTGATCAGCATTTTGGGGTCCATACTCAGCTTCCTTAGATGTGCAGTAGTTCCATACAGAGCATATCAGAGCCAGTGCATACTGAACTTGATAGTTCATATTTCCAAACATAAGACAAATATATAATTTTACATGCGCCTCCTGCACATATTTCCCTATTACCTGCTTGTTTTTTAAGGTAAAGTATATTTTAAAAAGTAATTGAGACTTTCTATTTTCCATTCACCATGAAAAGCTGTATTCTTATAGTTTTCAGAATTTGCAGGTAAGAGGGTTATGCTTGTAAGAGGTCTACTCTAAAAGTACAAAGAAAGTAAAAATGTATCAAGTTATTTCTTACAAACAGCAGAGAGAGAAAGCAAGTGCCATTAACTCTTAGGTTTTCTAGGATAAAATAATGTAATTCTGGGAAGACGAGTTCTTCAGTAAGATGTTCTATACTCCTTGAGATCCACTTGAAGATACTAGGGCTTGGGGAGTGAAGGCCCCCTTAAGGCACACATCAAAGCAGTTGTTGAATTGCAAATACAATATAAGAAAAGCTGCTCATCGACCTTTTGTTCAAACACTGAAGACACAGACCTGACCTTGCCATCACATCTTGACTGTCATGGAATATAATGACAATTTTATAGAAATGGGAGAAATTTTATCGTTCCTTCAAATCTACTGATTTTCATCTTTCCCTGTTTGTTAGGCGAGTAAGCTACCTTCAAACTGCCTTGATGGCAGACTCTTGATGAACATTCACAATTCACAGCATGGGATGGGGGAAAGTTCAAGTGCAGAGACCTAGGTCTCCTGACAAAGGATAACAATGTTTTAGGGTTTTTCTTTTGGGTTGTTTGGGAAATGAGACCTCAAAGACAACTTTTGTACTTTTGTACTTTTTGTATAAAGAGTACGGTCATAGCATTGAAATTAGGTATATTGGATTTCTTCCCCCCTTCCCGAAATGAATCCACTTCTGGCCATTTGAGGCACAAAAGTTAGATGGGGCAGGCTTTCTTCTGTATGTGCATGTTTAATGTTTAGTCCCTTTCGGAAGTGATTATTTCCCTGTATTTTAAAAGGTACGATTAGATTTCTTTTCCCTCCTATATACCTGATTTTCATGCAGTGTGGATTCTCAAGGAGTTCTGCTGCTCTGTGAATGCTCAGCATTTCTTATGGCTTTTCATTCCTTCCAATTCACTAGAGCATAGTGCAAATGTTAGAACCCTTTAAGAAGTTGATTATCTGGAGAAGTAGCTTGTGTGCCTGGACTTTGCAAGGCTACTCTAGCCACCCTGCTAATTCTGACAAAGAAGCACTTTCTCAAACCCATGTCATGATAGCAGTGTAGGTGGCATGATTGGATTTTCTTTATGAGTAATAAGGACTGTGCTCTGAGGAAGGGACAGAAGAAAGAGATGGAGACATGCCAGACAGAATGTTGTTTCAGCTATAAGCTACATGCATGCCAGAAACATGGGAGCATGGGCTATAAAAGCTATCAAAGCAGTGAGTAGTAACTTGACATGATGAGCACTGAATACCCTGAGATCTCCACATGTGAAACTTTGTTCACATGTAAAACTTAACATAACTTAGCAAGGAACAGGATCACATGGTGCTCTAATTGTTTTACAGGATCAGGATCAAGGACTATTCTACTGGACCTACTAAGCAGCAAATCTAGCCTGTCTGAGGTGTGCTAGAAGGGTGGGAAGGTAAAAAGTAGGAGCCTGCTTGAGGGAGAGGAAAAGAGAAATAGAGACAATACCCTGGACCTCTGATGAAGCTGCCCACAACAAGCATCAATTATGTATTATAAAAAATCATCATTTTGTCTACCTGAACTCTTTTCCATTTATTGCTGATATTTCATTATTGGAATTACAGCTTTATGATTCAGAATACTTTTTTCCTCCCTCTTTATAAAGTCCCAAGCTAACCGCTAAACCAGGAGCCTTTCCAAGTTTTACTGAGTTATAGAAATACACATTTTCTGGCCTCCTATACATTTAAGAACATCTGTTGTGTGTTATGCATTTGTGTTGTTGACATTGCAGGTGTTCAAGACAATTGGTCCATAATGACCTCCCAACCACCACAGTTATCATGTGCTTTGTGGATGAAGTGTGGTCCACTCTTCTACGCTCAGTTCATAGTGTCCTCAATCGATCTCCTCTACACCTAATTGAAGAGATTATTCTAGTGGATGACTTCAGCACTAAAGGTAAGCAAGCTTCCTTTATCTTCAGGAAATTAATATGGCCCAGGGCTAAAATGCAGTTTACTCCTTGATGCTTCAATTAGAAATGCGAGTAATTTCCTTCTTTAATTTCATCTTGTTAGTATGTTAAACACAAAACCATTCCAGTCAGTGCTATTATATCTTCAGAGTGTGAGATTTGCTAAGGAAAGACAAAGCCAGTAGAATGAGGCCAAAGTAATCCAAAGATAGAAAATTTCCACATCTAAAGTCTAAAGTCCTAGCTTGGGGATAGGTCTAAAAGATATCTTTATCCTTTCATGTGTAGTTTTCATATGAAGCTGGGCGGGCGGGGGGCAATTATCATGTCCAGACATAGAATCAGATACTGGCAACAAATACAGGCAGAAATAAATGGAGGCATCTAAGGGTGTGTCCCTATGCGCAGACGCGTGAGTTTCCAGGGGCACAAAAAGCAACAGCATACATTTGTGCTGCTGCTTTGTCCCCCAGGGCATGCCCCTGAATGTGCTCTCTGGCACCTACCAAATTGCCCCAGGTGAGGTAGAGGAGACTGGGGCCAGCACCTGGGGTGCTGTGGGTCTCCTTGGGCAGCAGCAGCACTGATCTGGCTGCACAGACCCTGGCTGGCAGCCAGAGCCTGGCTTTGGATGGCCAGGCTCTATTTCTGGCAGCACAGTTGCAGGTTCACCACTTGTGGTTTACAATACCTCAAACAGGCTTAAGGCACCGCAAGCCACACTTGTGTGCTCGTCTGGATGCGTGCTAAGGGTGCGTCCAGATAAGCACAATCGTGTGGTATGTGGTAATGCAAATATGTTTGCAGTGCCACATACCGCACAGTCCAGAGTTCTTCGTGCTATAAGGGCATGCTGCCCAAGCATGCGATGCTCTGTTTTGTCTTTCCATGGTTTTTTTTGACCCTTGGATATCTAGGGGTCAAAAAACCGCACAGGAAAAAAACCTGAAGCAGTGCACGCTCAGACAGTATGCACTGCTAAAAAGCAGAGCTGGGCCACTCAGAGCCGTGCTGTGGCTGCTGGCCAGGCTCCACCCAGCAGGATCACCATGCCTGCAGCAATCCAGGAGGCCCCCAGGACCCCCGGTAAGGCTGCTGAGGCCAGCACAGTGCTGGCCAAGCCTCCCCTACCCCACCCAGGGCAACTTGCTATGTGCCAAAGTGTGCATGGCATGGGCATCCCCCAGAGATAAGAGGCGGTAGCGCAAGGTGCACTGCTGCACCTTGTCCCTGGGGGACCAAACATTTCTTCATGTCTGGACATGCCTTAAATGTTCATTTGCAGGAGTAACCAGTTATGGGCACAGTCGTCCCAATTGTAGATAATGAAAAGAACCTACTTAGTACTTTGGCTTTCACCAGAGTTCAGTCCTGAATTTTTTAAGGTTGTTATAATTCTTAAATTGCTGACTTGTCACAGGGAGTACTGTGTCATATCAACATCAGGGCCACATACACTAGGGATTTTTAAATGACATACCAAGGCAGGGTCTTTGTCCCAGAATGGATTACAGATTAAGAAGAGCGATTACATGAAAATAGTGAGGGGGAACAAGCTCAACTTAGTATAAACAGTTGTTATATATATATTCATTTTTTATGATAATAAATAGATTTTTGAGCAAATTTCCCACCAACATTTACTTTCAATTTTGCTCTTCAGTATGTTCTCACATCACTTCCCTTTATGTGTGTTAACCTGAGTGGCTTAATGAAAATATTGGTTTTCTTGGAATCAGGGCCAAGATCTTTGAATATAAAATATTATTTCCTCTTAATAGACTAAAAAGACGTATCAAATTGAGGGGCTAAAACCCTGAAGGTTTTTTTTGCCCTAAGACAAACTGTTATAACAAGGAGTTTCTACATTGAATCAGGTCAGCAATGCATCTATTTCAATATCTCATTTCCAAGAGGGCCCAGTACCAGATGCTTAAAAGGAAGGTGCCAAAAACCCAGAATGAGAACTCTAATTGAAATCCCCTTTCAGATCTCACTCTTATGTTACTCAGGCAAGGTGCTCTCTCAATATACTCAATCCAAACATGCTTGGGATTGCCTCTCACTCATACAGCTGCCTTACATTTTATTCTGTCTAAAGATTTTCTACAGGAAAACCACTTCAGCAACAAATGAAAACAAAATATAAAATGCCATATAAGAACCAGTGATGTGCATTGATGCATCCTCATGCAGTTTGAGACCAGATGGATTATTTAAATGTAGCTCTTCACATTAGCTCTTGCAATTCAATGCAGCATTTGCAGAACAAAGCAAAAAAAACACAAATGCAATTTGAGGGGTAGGTTTTAATGTTCTAGTGGTTTAAGGGCTATAATTCTGATTTTAAAAGTTTTAAAATCAACTGTTAGGTACTAGCTTTCATGGGAGAAATCAACAGTTAGCAGAATCCTTATATCATACAGGGTGGGATTTAAAATTGGTCTTCTGTCAAAAATATAAATGGAAGCTATTATCTTCAGCCTACATAAGAGTAGAGGCCAATTAATGCTTAGTACAGCTGAAGATTCCACCCAGAGTATATATGATTTTGTCTTCTTCCTTCCAGCTGGCTATACTACAATCCTCTACACTGCTCAAACATATGAGAGCTAAATGAAGGACTTCCTCCATGTGGTTTGAAGGGAGGAGCAGATAGTTCTCTTGAATATCAGTGAACTTATATGTGCTCTAGCAGCACTATCTCCAAAGGAAAAAAAATATAGTGTGTTTTGGAAATGGTTTAAAACTCAGAGGAAATGTTTTCCACTGATTTGTCACTGGCTTCAAAACAGAGAAGTTAAGTTTTTGAAGGAATTTACTAATTTTTTCTCCTGTTTAGAGTATCTCAAGGACAATTTAGACAAATATATGTCACAGTTCCCAAAAGTGAAGATCCTTCACCTGAAAGAAAGACATGGCTTAATAAGAGCCAGACTGGCAGGGGCAGAGATTGCTAAAGGTAAGAGGAAAGATACTCCTACTTCCCAGTTTGGATTTATTTGAATATGACACTTATACTTAAAAACCTTCTCCCTGGGCGTATCTACATGTGATGCTGTGTCATTGTAGCAATGCACTACGGTGGTATAGCATCAATGGGCAAAAACCGTGATGCCGCAGCTGCATCACTGCAGCAATGCACTCCCTCAATATAGCTTCCTCCCTCATTATAGTGCACTGCTACAGCAACATAGCAACTAAAAATAGCCATTCGTGGTCAGTACAGTGCAGTACAGGCTGTTACTGCACCGTCACTTATAGTTTCATAGTTTCTAGGGTTGGAAGGGACCTGAGCAGATCATCAAGTCTGACCCCCTGCCATGGCAGGAAAGAGTACTGGGGTCAAACAACCCCAGCAAGGTGTTCATCTAACCTCCTCTTAAAGACCCCCAGGGTAGGAGCCAGCACCACTTCTCTTGGAAGCTGGTTCCAGATCCTAGCCACCCTGACCGTGAAGTAGCGCCTCCTGATGTCTAGCCTAAACCTACCCTCTGCTAGCTTGTGACTCTTATTCCTGGTCACTCCTGATAAAAAGGAAGTACTAAGTGATGGTGCAGTAACAACGGCATCGTACGGCCACATATAGGCATGCCCTCTCATTACTATGCTATGTATCTTGGCCACTGACCTAATATTAGAGCTGAATGTTATTTAACATATTTTTGTCATTTTTCAGTTGACCAAGCCTACAAATTGTTGAAGGCGATTCAGCCAACAACATATTTTGAAAAAAATGGCAACTTTTTCAAACACTATTATTTGACACTTTGCCCTTTTTCTGCTAATTCAGTTCTAACTGACAGGTTTATAATGCTGATCTACAGAAAATAAATAATACGGTGATGAAACACAATAGTTTCATTCCTCAGCTGAAAAGCTGATTATTCTGCGCTATGGAAGGGCTTGCATTTTCCAGCAGAATGAAAACAATGTTAACATTTCTGTTTTTGCCTTTTTCTGAACTCATTTTTGGTGCTAAAAACCCATATCATTTACTTATTAAAATATCACTATAAACTAATTGTACTGAAGTTGGGCTTTCTACTAGCACAGTCAGTTTTGCCTGGTATTTCATAGATTTCATAGACATCTGGGCTGGAAGGGACCTCAGAAGATCCCTTCCAGCCCTCAGAAGGCCTGCCATCAAGGAAAGCTGCCCTCAGGCAAGGGGGGGCCCTGCCCAGGATTTGGGGGGCCCTGCCCTACTGGAGGGGGACTGGTGAGTACCCCCTCCTACCTTTCTGTCTCCCTGGGGGGCTGGGCCAAGTAGGGGCCTGGGCGGGGCTTGACCCGGCTGGCTCCACACAGCCGCCTCCTCCCCTCTCAGAGAGGGGTTAACCCCTTCCCACCACAGCCCCACTTGCCTCTGGCTGTGCTGGGGGTCAGCAGGGGGCTCCGTGGCTGCTGGGGGGTGTCTAGGGGGTTCAGGGGAGCGGGGGCAAGGCAGACTTTCACCCACGCGTCTGTCGCCGCTCCGGAGCCTAACTCTTGAGCTTACTTTGAATTTTTGTTGGCTAGAAATTTTCTTGGATGGTAAACAGAGAAGGTTTGGAAGCTTGTCTAAGGCCATATTAAGTGAAGTGTGTTGATTCACAGCTTGGACCTGTTCATCAGGAATGTTTCAGGAAGCATTTTCCCCTTATTTTTCTATTGTTTTATGCAAAGCCACCCTTTACCAACTTTGCATTCTCCATGAGGAGACTAACTTTTGAGTCCAAGATTCTGCTCCCAGTGATCTTAAATAGGAGGGAGCAAAGGGGAAATGTTGCCTGGCATCTGGGAAGTAAATCCTAGAGCAGCAGGTGCAGCATACTCTGTGCTCTGTTCACATTCAGCAGACCAGTTGCAAGAGGGTCATGACTCTAACCACACTTAGGTCATTAGCAGCTACAAAAATGTTACAAAGTAGGGACTTGGGCAGGGTGGGTGATGAGAGAAGAATACCATTCATACCTTTCTGTCTTTGCACCCTGTGCCAGTTCTGGCCAGAATGTGGTACTTTGCAAGTAGTCAAATGTTCTTTACAAAATAGGTTCTTTACAAAATCAGGTTCAGTATTTTCTGGAAAAAGTTCATTAAAGTCCATTTTAATTCTCATAAATTAGTAATCCATTCTCTGCATTTCCCCTCTAGGTGATGTACTGACATTCCTAGATTCTCATGTGGAATGTAATGTAGGATGGTTGGAACCACTTCTAGAAAGAGTCCGTATAAACAGGAAGAAAGTGGCATGCCCAGTTATTGAAGTAGTCAGTGACAAGGACATGAGGTACTTCATTTCTTGCTCTGGTGTACATTTATGAAATACAAGATATAATACAAGCAATTTTCATGAAATACTAATTATAACAAAGGCTAAGTATAGACATTCAAAAATCCCCTGGCGGAAGCACTCTATCACACTTTACTTAAAGCACTATAAAAGTAAGCTAACTGAATAGATGTTCACTGTTCAGTGGGGAGGGAGCTCCAGCACTGACTACTGGGGGCACTTCTGCACACCTCCTAGGAAGCTGCTGGAGTGGCCCTGCTCCACAGCCTGCCCTCTGCACCTCCATCAGCTGGCAACTGTGAGAAGTGGCTGGGGGGGAGGGGGCAGAGAAAGAGACACCCTGGAGCCCTTCGCCCACAGCCCCCCAAGGCCACGCATAGGTGCATTGCTGCCTGGCTAGGGCAGCTGTGGGGGGAGAGACCCCAGACTCCTTCCCCCACAGCCCCCCTAGGTGGGCTGTGGCACAGGATGGTGCCAGGGTGGCTGTGAGGACAGAAACCCTTCTTCCCCCACCCCCCATTCCCCCAGCCAGGCTTCACACCAGGCTGGGATCAGAGGCTGTCACTGACTGGGTCAATGAGAACCAAGGAGCAGAGCCAGCCTTGCACTCAGACAGAGCACAGGAACTCTGCCCAGGGCTAGAGCACAGCCCTGTGAAATGCCGCATGGTATGGCATCAGTCACACTCTAAGTTAATCCCTGATGGGATCCGGCACAGACATTTGACCACATGCTCTAACAGAAAGTGCTTTAGTCTAATATCTCATCCATGAAGGGTTAACTTAGTGTGCCTATACACGTGCTCTGATTAATCAAGTCTGCTCTGCATTTTAATTAAAACACTCTAGCATCACCACAGCATCACGTGTGTAAAACTCTGTGGGTTTCAAAATGGCCACTGGAGTACTTTAACTAAAGCTCATCGAATGAACTTTAGTTACAGCATCCTGCCGCCATTTTTAAACACGCAGGAGTTTAATACACATGACACTGAGGCATTTTAATTAGAAAGGCTCTCCAGGAACTATAATTACTTAATTATCTTTCACAAAATTACTTCACAAGGAATATGAGAAAATAAATATGAGTAGAAATTAGACCGACTACCAATTGCCCAAATACACTAAACTGCATTTTGTCTGACATTTCATGAATTTTTAGTGTTCAAAGGAGGTCAAGAGTGAAATTTGTTAGAATTCTGTTTACTTACATAAACAAATCCAGTTTCACAAATTTCTTCTGATTAAGATCCTGCTTCAGAAGCTGATGTCATAGCTTTCCCTTTCTTGTTTTAGTTATATGACAGTGGACAACTTCCAACGTGGGATTTTTACTTGGCCAATGAATTTTGGGTGGAGGCAGATTCCTCAGGAGGTTATTGAAAAGAATAAAATCAAGGAAACAGATATAATAAGGTGAGAGTACAACATTATTTTTTTGTGAGCAAAGATTCCCTTTTTTTGGTGTTTTCATAACAGGGAACCTAATCTTTCTGAGCCAAACATCACTCTTGTGTAACTGAGTACAGAAGGCCCAGAAAAATTATAGCTAACTGAATTCTGTATTAAGCTGTACCATCTGATGTGAGCAAAACTCTCACACACGATGCTATAGATCAGTGGTCTCCAAAGTGGAGTGCGCGCACCCCAGGGGGTGCGCAAGATGATACATTCGGGTGCAGGAAGAAAATATTAGAACTTCTATTTATATTTATTTTTTATCTGAAGAAATTAAGCGTTACTAATATTTAATATACGGATTGACACTGGAGCCCTCACTTGGTCCGTATGTCAGATGGTCACGTGTCACGTACAGTACGCGAGGTATCCTGAGGGAAGAGTGAAAGCTCCACAACGCAGAGGGGTTGACAGTGGCGCTCAGTGGCACCCTCAATAAATATACATATATTGGGGGTGCATGCTCAAAAATTTTTTACTGACAGGGGTGCGCAATCAAAAAAGTTCGGAGACCACTGCTATAGATAATCTGTCAAATGCTGCATTATGGACAAAACAAGGGATTCCAGCAGCAGTGTGGCCACAGATGAAGACTCTGAACTGTCACTCTGTATACTTAGGTACATTAGTAGAAGGGCCTTTTATGTCAGGAGCCACTGTAGCTGTGGTAATTCAAGATAGTAAGGTGTAAAGTCTTCTGCTTATTTTTGGCCTTATCAGCCCTAAATTGTGCTGTGTTTGCTGTCTGCACTTGAAGTTAAGTGATTGGATTCTTCACACAGCAAAGTGCACTTGGTACAGCTTCCTAGGCCACAGCTGGACAATGCTGAATCAGGGATACATAACCGATTCCCTGCATCTCTGCCCCCTGAACTGTGTCTAAGTGGAGCCTGGGTGAGACAGGGAGTCTCACCCAAGCAGTTCTAAAATTTACCACAATGATTGAACAGTCTGGACTCTTATTCTTGCCACCTTTTAAGTGATTGAATCTTCCCTGTCATTTGCATGAATGGATTTTCTGTGCAGTGGCCTTTCCAGTGTATCTGTCCTTCTTTGGCTTCCCATACTACCTTCATCATTACTCCACTTTGCACCATTGCCAAAACTGCACAAACATGCATCTTTAACCAGGAAAAAACCTAAAATAAAAACTGAACCCCATAAGATATTTTTTCCTGCAGTTCTGGCACTCAGATAATACAGTACTGGGCAACAGTTGAAGAATCTGGATAGAGAAACAGACCAACATTTATGGACATCAGAAAAAAAAGATTGCATAGTTTCATTAAAACTTTAAGCTTCTGTTTACATACTTTGCCAAGGCTTATTCTACTTTCTTCTACCCAAGAATGCCTCTTCTTTTTACCACCATCCATGCTTTTAAACACTAGCATCTCCAGCAGTCAACTTTGCCTACCTCTAGGAAGATCATTTATAGATCCACTCACTACCACTTGACTGCCATCACAGTTTAAACAATGTCTGGCTTTGCTTATTCTGTTCTCTGATTCCTCACCATTTTTTCTAAATAAAGTTTTCTATCTCTTTATATAAACTAACAGGTGGCTGTTTAGTCTCCAGTTCTATGAATGAAAATTAATATAGGATATTCTTACACGTAGTAACTGTCATGGGGCAGCTGGTAGCCCATGATTTCCTGGCAATTCCTTTATTCAACAGCTGTGAAGATTAATTTTTATTTTACCCTAGAATACAGGTGTAACATCTGTGGTTCATTCCCAGGTGCCCTGTAATGGCAGGTGGATTGTTTTCCATTGATAAGAAGTATTTTTTTGAACTTGGAACATATGATCCTGGACTGGATGTTTGGGGAGGTGAAAATATGGAGATTTCATTCAAGGTATGCTACATCCCTAATGAAGACATGAATGTTTCCTTCTCTAAGTTTGAATACATTTAGTCTTCAAATGTTATTGTCCCTGAATCTTATTTAGGCTCCAATTCATGTTCTACACGACTTTGTTGAATCAAGGCCTTGACACTAAAGAAAGACTTTGAATCGGTATGATTTAAACAGTCACCCTTGCATTTGAGGATGTGGCAATCAGCTGGTCAGGTTACAAAAAGGAGTGGCTCTGAAATGTGCTGTGTTCATACTCCTACACCAAGTATTGTAATAATTATTTCCTTTCTGGCATGGACTAGTAACCAGAAGTCACTCTGTATATTTACCTAAGTTCTTTTTTCTGGTGATACAAGGCCAGGTGTTGAGTTATTGCTCAATTCAGCAATGCTCAGAGAACAAAGCAGAGAACTTTTTATTGCTGTTTGCAAGTTAGTCTGTGTGAATACCATATTATATGATTTTTAGAAAGGCCTCACCCTCAGCTCCTGACAAGAAACTTATATGTAAGCTATTGGTGAATGTGTGCTGCCAACAGAGAAGTTATTACATCTTCCAATAGCAGAGTCGTGGCTCTCATACATTTAGCTCTGGAGGCCCCAGTGTCAGCAAAAAGCACTCGTCACAGACCTGCAATTCATTGCACTTGCAAATGCTGCCATTAAGGCATAGCTAACTAAAGGCGTCCTGGGCTGGAGCATTTGTATGGGTGCATGGAGCGGTGAGTTAGAAACTTTCCTTTTTCTCCCTGTCAGGGGACAAGATACAATAACTACAGTGTCTACTAGTGCCCCAGAGTCAGCAGACTTCTCCAGAGAAACTGAAAGAGGCAGAGCCTTGACTACACGCCTCTACTACATGAGCCAAATAAGCAGGCAAAATAGGCAAGGCAACATATACTGCTGCTCCCTACTAGGTAGGATAGAAGTTGTGATTTCTCTGTTTTGAAGAGCTCTGGAGGGAAACCTGATTGAAAAAGGTTCCTCTGAGCGTAAAATATCTCCTCAGTATCCTTAACACAATCCAGTTCCTGTTGTGCATGTTTCATTTGTAGCCGCACATAACTGCAAGTGTAAAATTATACATACACAACTATGTCTGCAAAATCAAGGCCTCTTCTCAAAATCAGGTCTGCTGTTTTCATAGAAAGCATAGAAAAATTAGGGCTGGAAGGGACCTCTAGAGGTCTTCTAGTCTAACCCCCTGCTCAGAGCTGGGCCGTTCCCAACTAGATCATCCCAGCCAAAGTTTGTCTAGGTGGGCCTTGAAAACCTCCCGGAATATGATGTGTATCATATTTAACAAATCAAACTCTATTTACCAGATCTGGATGTGTGGAGGAGAAATTGAGATCAACCCATGCTCCAGAGTTGGACATATTTTCAGGAATGACAATCCCTACTCCTTCCCTAAAGATAGGATAAAGACAGTGGAGCGGAATTTGGCTCGTGTTGCAGAGGTCTGGCTAGATGAGTACAAAGAACTATTCTATGGACATGCCTACCACTTAATCCTGAAAAACCTGGATGTCGGAAACTTGACTCAACAAATACAACTGCGAAAGAAACTTCAGTGCAAAAGCTTCAAGTGGTATCTGGACAATGTCTACCCGGACCTGGAAGCTCCTCTTGTCAGAGCAAGTGGGCTGGTACGTGAACTTTACAAGTGCAAATATATTACAATTGTATGTTGACATTGCTGGGTTTCCTGCCACCCCCTCATTTATACTTGCTTTCAATGATTTGTCACTGACATCTAGGCAGTCCAGGGCACTTGCTCACTCAGCGTCTCCCAGAGGTGCAGAATACTTAATTACCCCTTTGCATCATGCACTTCATTTTGCTGCATATGGTGGTGTACAAGGAAACAGCTTTAGTATCTTGAGGGATTGTCTTTGGTCCATGATAGGCAGCAGATCAGGGCATGTCCCTCCTTAGTTGGGATTCCTGTCTTTCCATTTACACTTCCTATTCATTGAAATTTCTGAATATTTTACATTTCAGGACTCTCACTTCCCTGTATTTTTACAAGGAAATGAATAGAAACCTAAGGATATGATTTTATAGTAACAGCCCTGTTTATAATCAAGAGCCAAATTAAGCTTTAAAAATGTTGTCTCTGTAGACAAATGTATGGACAGACAAGAGAAATTTTGGTTGTGTTATTTATTTATTTTTTTTGTACAAGGTTTTTAGAGCTTTCATAGGTTGTGTGGGGAAGAAAAAATACCTGGAGAAAATTTGTTGCAGGGTTTTGTACTAATAGCCTGTCACCACTAGAGTGCACTAGAAAACTGTATTTTTTCACTTTCTAGAATAAATACAGATTCATTTCTAGCTATTTCCAAACTACAGATGGAGGTAGCCAGCCTAGCAAAGTCACGCTATATATTAAAGTGCAGCTACAGCCCAAATGCCAGTTTCGACACGAGTGCAATGAACTGGGCAGAAACCTTTTTCAAAGATATTTTAGGCTCAGTTGTACTTGCCTGCTAGAAATCCCATTGACTTTAAAGTTACAGTTTTGAGGAGAATGTAACAGAACAAGTATCATTCTCTGTATGATCTGAATCTGCTTCCCAGTGCCTTTAATCATCCTGGTGTTATATCCATGCTATTCTTTAAACCTGAACATCAAGTGAATCACATTTGCACAGATGTGCCAATTGTTCAGATATTCAGCATCTCTTTTTAAATTATTTTTTCCCAAACAAAATTTAGATTCTCATCTTGGCCCTCATCCAGACGTTAACAAAGCTTAGGGCTACTGGAAACATTTCTAAAAATTCAGGAGCATAAAATATTCCCACTGAGGCATCATAAGAATGATATTTCACTTAGAATTTTAGACTACATTTAAATTCAATTTCTGGCTTCTAGAAAAAATTATTAGTGAATCCATCTGCTTCTAAAAGTCCTTTTAGATAAACAATAGAAGTAGGACTGTGCCAGGTGTTCAGTTCTGCCAGTACTATGTTTTCTAAGGGGACAAACATAAATAGCTTTATGTCTCCTAATGCTAAGCCTGGCAGTGGTTCTATTCATCCTCCCCAGTGCAACTGAAATCCACCTCATAGCCCGTTCTGGCAGCCAGAGACAGCACATGGCAACACTGGACACATTCAGATATGCCTCCTAGGAAGGGCCAGTACAAGAGGAGGTATAGGAAGACAATGCTCCTTGTAACCTCTTAGACATCCCTGTCTTGTACAGGAATCTCCAGCAATCCAGTGAGTTGTGCCACCTGGGATCTGGCCAAATATTTTCAGTAGACCTAAACAAATAATATAGCGTCGAAGAATATTTTTGTGAATATAAATGCTGAGAATGCATTGTCATAATTTGTGCACTTTGTGATCTGGAACTGGCCACTGGGCCTGCATTAACATGCCCCAAAAGTTTCACATATTTTATATTTTCACATACTAGTCAGAGGGGACCAGCAGGCACTGGGGGAGTCCCTTTTCCCCTGAGCACTGCCAGGAGTGACCGGGAATAACGGTCACAAGCTGGCAGAGGGGAGATTTAGGCTAGATATCAGGAGGTGCTACTTCACAGTCAGGGCAGCTAGGATCTGGAACCAACTTCCAAGAGAAGTGGTGCTGGCTCCTTCCCTGGGGGTCTTTAAGAGAAGGCTGGAACACCTTGCTGGGGTCATTTGACCCCCGTACTCTTTCCTGCCATGGCAGGGGGTCGGACTTGATGATCTGCTCAGGTCTCTTCCGACCCTAGAAACTATGAAACTATAAGATGGAATAATTCGCCTGAAAATGATTAAAGTTGGTTATTTATTATTCAGCTGTTTAAAACCTTCCAATTGCTGGATAGAAGCAACAGCTTGTTATTTTTCTGTGATAATTACTAAATTAAACAATTCACCAACAATTAGAGTTTGTAGGAGATTTTTTAACTTGTCAGAAAATGCCATTCTGATGAGACTGCTTTTTAAAATAAATCTTAATGTAGGTAAACTTTCATTTTTTTTTCCTGGAAAAAAGATATGCTGAGAATAGCAAAATTCCATTTTAGAGTTATGTTTAGTGTGTTCAGGTCAAACAGCTTTCTGTTTCAAAATCTATTTTATCCAGAGTTGAAAACAAATGCAATGTTTGGATTTTTTCAAAATATGAATCTGATCAAAAATGATTTTTTTTTTTCAGACCATAGGTTTCTGAAAATTTCTAGTCTTTTGGCAGTTTTGCTCTAATTCAGGACAGAAACAAATTCAATATCTTGAAATTATGTGGGATGGAAAATACATTTTCCAACAAGTTCTCCAAAGTACTGTTTGGCTAACTACTCAAGCTGCTTGAGGAATATTTTATGAATATGAAATTTACTCACAGGAATCTGGTTTGTTTCATAAAATGTTCAGTAATTGAAAAAGGAGGGGAAGGGACTACATTTGTAAAAAAAAAAAAAAAAATTTTAAAATATTTCAGTTTTTTTTTCCAAATATTGTTTTTTTTTTTTAAAAATGTAGCCCTTTCCCCCCTTTTTTAATTTACTAAACTTTTTTTAAAAAAAACAAAAAAACAGTTTAAAATAGTTCAGCTCTATTTTGCCAATATTGTTTTGATTATTTTAAAACACAATGAATGTACCTCCACATGTTTAATAGAAGCCCAGATCCACATGTGGTATAAACAAACATAGCTCCATTAATTTTAGTCTGTCAGATGTGAAGACACTTGGTATCTTGCAGAATTCAGCTCAGCAGTAGCAGTGTTTTGGTATAATCCTCAGCACTCATAAGCGGATGCGTCTACACGAGACATTGTGTCAGCATTATAACAAGAATATGGGAACATGCAAAGAGATAAAGAAAATAGATATCCTTTTAAAAACGTCACAGGTATCTGTACTTTCAACTGACTATTGCATGTTCAACTCCAACCTGTGATATGCATTCTGTGTCTCCACCAACATGCTACAAAATTGTGACCTAGCTTAAAAATAGCTAAAATATTCATGCTTACATTGCAACTGAAGGTGCTTCTTTCTGAGGCATCAACCCATACATAGCTATTTCTGTCTTAACATAAGTACTAATGCTTCCATTTTGCAGACTGGTCAAGAGCAGCCACCCCCATCTGAAAGGGAGAAAGAGTCATCTCGGTGACCTAATACAGAGCACATCATACATAATAGAATTAAATATGTTATATCTAAAAATTCACAAATTGTTTCCTCTTGTGGAAAAAGAAACAGAGCCAGAAAGAGAAAAAAAAACAAGTATGCAATACATACTTGTTATATCATTTAATGCTCTTCAAGGAGATGTTACAACAGGTGACGACAGTAAAGTAGCCAGTTGAATAGAATAGAATTGTGCCTCACCACTTGTTTCCTAAATCTATTAGCAAACTACGGTCATAGAGCAGATACATTCTGCCAGCTGCATTTGTTTATTTTTTTTTTACTTTCTGGTTAGCCAACTGTAGCATTCATAATTAGCTTAGAACAGTTTTTATATGTGTATTGGCCTTTGCTGGCCAAGATAACTGGAGATATTTGATCTCAGATTTGATTCGCCAGGTATTCAATTTGTCTGCATATGGTCTACCAAAGAGATTCTTCTCCTAATCTATCGCTTGCTTGACTTGAGGTAGGAATGTGAATGGATTTTATAATTGATTTTTCAACAATTTACAGAATATAAAGTAGAAACATGAACAGTAGCTATGTCTAACAGAAGAAATTAGATATGTGATACCTCTGGTGTTTCAAGAAGGATCAATTTCCCGCTGTTGATTGAAAATATAGACTTGAGTATGAGCACTCACAAACAGCAGTAGAGAATGTGGGCCAGTAGCTTTAGTCTGGCTAAACCAGGGGCTTCAATATTTTTTGGATGAATAGACTATGGTCAGTCCTCAGAATTTCAGGTAGACTACACCAAGCTCTTATCATCAACTTTTCAGTGAAAAACTATAAAAGTGTATGGACCCATGTGTGACCCCTGGCCTCAAGTACGGGAACGTATGGGTAAGATTATGTTATGTCTCTATTACATATATCATTCAGTAAAACGTATAACTAACCCAGTGATTCTCAACCAAGGAATTGTTTCCCTCTGGAGGCTCATCTACACATGCCAATTGAAGGTACTTTAGCCCAATTTAAAGCTCATTAAGGGAGTGCATCTACACATGAGTGCTGTTAATACGCCTTAAAATGGCAAATTTAGGCACGAATAGCTAAAGCACCTTAACGCATATGTACATGCACTAAGGCACCTTAACACTGTACATGTCAACTGACTTGGGACTAACTTTAGTCCCAAGTCGGTCCACACACCACATTAATGCACCTTACTGCATGCACATGTACCTTAATGTGCATTAGGCAAATGTGCATTAAGTTTATGTGCACGTTAAAGCATTTATAGACATACCCTGGATAATGTTAGCAGCAGCATCGCCAACTCAATATTTTTTTGTTTTGCTGACAACCTCCAAGCTTCTGACAGCGAAACATTTTTACTGGCACATGTCTTTATTGATATATAAACTTTTTTATATATATATATAATATATATATATATATATATATTATATATATATATGTACACACACACACACACACACACACACGTTTACATATATATACATGTTTTATATAATGTAAATATAACTCTTCTACCAGGTCCTGCCCTGCTCCTAGGTCTCAGTTAAAAAGCTGGTTTTAAATTTAGGAGTTTAACATCAACTATAGTAATAAAAAAAGTAAACATGTTTGGTTGTTAGTAAAAAGTTTGCAGTGAAAAAAAATCTTGGATTGGCAACCCTGCTTGACTAAAACCATAGCTTTACACTATACTGCCTGCCTCTGCCCCCCTAAGTGATGCCAGCAGCCCTATATTCATCCCCATATTCTGATGACCCTCACTGCACGATCCCGTCCCTCCCCATCATCCCCATCTCCTCCCAAGTCAATTCCTCACTCTTACTCACTCCTCCCATTCCAGCAAGGAGCCCCAAAGGAGCATACCAGTGACCCAGCAGGAATATTATAGGCAGCCTCGGATGCAGCAGCAGCAGAATTCTCCGTGCTAAGTACTGTGCTACTGTTTAGACCCAGATGGCACTGCTGTGCTTAGTCAGAACTTAAATCAAGCTGTGGCTACTTAGTGTTTTTACTGACAGCTATGGACTTTACTGACAGCCATTTTTGTTCTGATTTTTTACTAACAGTAAGTAAATGTATTTATAGCTGTCAAACTTGATTAGCACTTTTAGGTCTATAAATGTGATTTACAAGATAAACCCAGAGATTTCAAATAGAAATCCATAGTGTGAAAAACTTACTGACCTGTAGTCAAAAACTAAGCAATAACAAAGAGCTGGTATTTTCTGAGGGATCTCTTGAGTCTAAAGGGTGCCCTGGCTCTAAAAAGACTGAGTGTCACTGTTCTAACCAATTATCTCAGGGATCCTTTAGGGCAATTGCAGAGTAATATTCTCTTTGCTATTTTCTGTTTCCTGCAATTACATGCATAACATTAGACTTATTCCCTTTTCTAAATCTCTATTTTTAATTCTGTTTTCCAGATTGTTAATATAGCAATGGCTGGATGTATTACAGTGGAAAATTCTACTCTAACTTTTGAGACTTGTGAAATTAATAACAAGGTAAGAAATATTTGAGGTTGTTATTTTGGAAACTAGACAGCAAATGTCAGTTGTATTGATAATTCTGCTGAATCCCCATGAATTCTACTCTACTGACTTGAATTCCAACTTTGAGGTTAATGTAATCCTTTTAAAATATATTGCCAAAAGATTCCATCAAAAAGTGAGAACTGTACTGTATCTGTAGTGTTGAAATGAAACATACATAAAAACTCTGAGAACCTTCAAAACTAAATGGAAACTTCCAGTTAGTTTACATACAGCCTAAGGGATATGCACCCAATGGGACAAAAAGCTTTAGTAGAAAAGGATCACAACTTTATATAACACTAACAAAGCCAAAATGGCTTTGGACCACAACTGTATTCTACATGAAAACAGCAAAGTCAAAATGGGGCAGGTGTGAGAAGAAAAGTGGGAACTGCTCCAAGCAACAAGTACTGTCTTTTATGGGCAGTATTTCTTGATAGGCAATACCCTAATAATTACTGATCAGTATAGAAACAGGCTACCTGCTAGGATTGATGACCTTACTATGGCAGGACAATAGCCATTTTCCAGTTGATGGCCAGTCTTGAGATTCCAGCATCAGCTATTTTATACCAACTATAGTAGCCAAGTCTCCTTTTTTTGCATTTGTTCTAGAGCTGTCTCCAGCTTCTGAATTCTGCAAAGAGGGATCCGCTCACATATCATTTTCCTTTTACCCCAGTATTCAGTTATGTGGGCCACAAAAGTTTCTTTGATCATTTTGCCACTGCCCTAGCATATTGTAAACACAAACATTAAGAAAGCTATTGAGTTGTATCCTGATCTCAGCTACAGAAGTTTGACAGGCATACCCTCTTCCCATCAGAGGCAGAAGGAGCATAATCAGTGAAGTTATCTGAAGTATGATCAGATCCTAAATCCTGACTCATAGCTCTAGATTCACTCAGACCAATATGAAACAATTACAGGAAGTATAAATGAATACTGTTGGATTTAAGAAGTGCAAGACAGAAATACAGGGGGAAAAAATCCCACACATGCACAGTGAAATCAGTCTGCAATTGACTTTTCTCCACAGAACCAGAAGTTCAACTATACTTGGCTGAGACTGATTAAACATGGAGATTTCTGCATAGCATCTGTAGATGCAAAAGGAACATTGGGCCTGTACCCTTGCGATAACAGAAACAATAGCTTGAAATGGATACATAAATCACTGGTCTCCTTTCAAGTAAAGCTCGTAAGTAGAACATTTTGTAAAAAATTTCCCTCACTGTAGTGAAACATGAACTAAAACTAAAACGAAGGAAAAACAATTGTATGTGCCAAAAATATATAATTTAAATATACAATTTAAATGTTTTGTCAGAAACTATAGCAACTTCATAGAGATTATGTCTAGGTACGTACATGTGCATAGTGTTTCTCTCTCTTTGTGGGTTTCTAAAAATGTGAGGGAGAGAAATGGTTCCAAATCTCTTTTTCATAAGACAAATGTTACAGCAGAATATTTCAGACATTTTATTTACTTTTGCTAAAACAATTGTTGGCCCCAGTGATTTTTTTTTGCAGTGCACATTCAAGGCTATTGGACAGCATTGTGATTCTACTCCTGTGGCCACATTACCTCTCAGAGTGGTGTATATCTACATTCTGCCTGCTTTTGCATTGTATCAATCAAAATGTTATACAATTAAACCAACCTAGGACAAAAATATATAAGTACATCAATCAGATATCATTGCCTATTCTTTTGGCCCAAACCCTGTGTTCCAGAAAGTGAAAGCTTTGCATTTGTTAGATAACTGTAGGGTTCCTGGTTGTAGCTGTGCTGGCCTAAAGACAAAGGCAGCCAAAGTTCTTTAGGTAAATATGATATCTTTTATAAGACCAAATAAATAGCTGGAAAAAAAAATTCTTTGCAAGCTTTTGGGTATAAAAACCCTTCTTCAGGCACAGGGGGAGTTTGTTGTTTCTTTGTGTTCTTTCCTGGATAGATGGAAGCCAGCAGAAAAATGCTATTCTGTGAAAATGTATATGCATGGCAGGGGGGGATCAGGGGCTCTGTGAGACAACAGCTGAAATAAAGGGGGCAGGGGATAGGGAAGGGGGGGAAAGAGGGAAGAATGTAGCTAGTAAAATGCAGATGGGTTACCTGGGGTTATCAGATGGCAGGCACGTTATAATATGCCATAAAGCCAATGTCTATATTTAGTCTATGATTTTTTTGTATCCAGTAGATTTAAGTGAAGTTCACAGGCTTATCTACAAAAGGTGTTTTGTAGATTCCCTCTGAGGATGAGAACTGAGAGATTGGAGAGAGAGTGATTACTTTGTGAGAAGTGTACACCCACAGATAGTTGTATGTTTTTGTCTTTGATAGATTTTCAGTGTGCATTTATTCTGGTATGCAGTTGTTATTTGGTTTCTCCTTGTGGCAGGCCTCCATGCTGCATGTGGGGGTTGGATTGCCCTGAGATGACTTTTCTGCCCAGGCTTATGGAAGATGTACTTGGTTCACTTGACTGAAGATCTTTCTGCTGGCTTGGGCTCCCTTCTGGCATCTTCTGTGGGTATCCTCCTCCCCTAAACCCCACCCCTTTCCACTCAGGTGTTAAGAGGGATCACAAGCTGCATTTGAGGGTTTAATGTGATCAATTGGCATGCAGCCACATGGTGTCCCATCTGCAGCCACTAACCATGCAGTACTATAGTCAGGGTGAAAAGGCTAACACAAATTCAAAATGACTAACTAAACATCTGTCAGCATGGTTGAGGCAGGGTTCCAGTGCCCTGCACTGAGCTGCTCACTCCTGAGTGTTGGAGTTTTGGAGAGTTCTGACTTCACCCCCTTTTTCCTCCTTCCTCTGGCATCCATCATTCAAAGGGGCTCTCCGCTGACACACTATGTGCACAGGTCCTGACTATGGGGCTACTGGGGGTCTGTGATATACCCAGGGACTCCGTGCTGCCCTGGGGTCAGATCCCAGCCAGCCACCTTGGTTTGTCCCTGGCCCTGCAGGCCAAGGCTGGCTTCCCCAATTTATGGGCTGGTCATGGCATTGGCAGCAATGGTGGTAGTGTTCGCGTTGGCAGCAGCAGTGGTGGCATTGGTGGCAGCTGCAGCAACAACGTTGGTGTTGGCAACAGTAACCTCATTGGCAGTGGCAGCAGTAGCTGCAAGCCTCTAGTGACATGTAATGCTGTGTAATTCGTGCTGATTTTCTTTGTACTGCAGCAATTCTTTACCTGGTATCCAGATGAGTCTTTCAAAAGTATGATCTCTGTCTCTGGAGGAGTGTCCTTGCTGGGTGAAAATCTTTTTGAGATTTGCAAGGTGCTGATCATCAGTATTCTCCTCAATGCAAATTTGGTGGCATCAGAAGCCTTGGCTGTACATTATGGCTTTCTTGGTGTGTTTAGGGTGATTGCTGGTTCTATGTTGATATGTGTGTTGGTCCATGGGTTTCTTGTATATGTTGGTTTGTATTTTACGATTCTGGAGATTAATCATAGTGTCTGAAAAAGAAATGTTGGTGCTGGAGTATTTAAGAGAGAGTCTGATGGAGGGGTGATGGTTATTGAACTTGTGATAGAAATCAGAGACTGCAGGTTTTCTGTCCAAATGATGAAGATGTCATCTATACATCTTAGATACAGCATGGGTTTGATGGTGCAGTTCATGAGGAATTCTTGTTCCAGGTGGGCCATGAAAAGATTGGCATATCGTGGGGCCATTTAGGTGCCCATAGTTGTGCTCATGGTATGGAGGAAGTGTTGGTTGTTAAAACAGAAGTTGTTGCGTGTGAGGATGAAGTGTATAAATTCAGTAGTATCTTTAGGTCTGAGTTGTAATCTTGCTCTTTTAAATACGTAAGGCAGGCTTATATGCCTTCTGGTGTGGGATGTTGGTATATAAGCTGGTAACATCCATGGTGGCTAGGAGGGTATTGCTGGGAAGGTGGTCTATGTCTTTAAGTTTCAGGAGAAAGTCTGTTGTGTCTTGGACAATACTTGGTCTTTGCATGACAAAAGGTTTTTGAATGGATTCAATGAAACCTGGTATTTCCTCAGTGAGGGTTCCATGGTTGGATATTATAGGTCTTCCTGGGTTCCCTTGTTTGTGGATTTTAGGGAGTGTGTAAAATGTAAGACATTTCCACCACCACCACAATAACTACACCACACAACAAAACCATCACTATTCCTAGATTTTACACCTGCACCCCCAGAAATGTACTCTCTCTTATCCAGTGCACTAAAGGCCCAGATGGAAAAAAACGTAGGAGAAACTAAACAACTACATACCAGAGTGAATCCATCAAAGACAAAAATACACACCTACTTGTGGAAGCACACTTCTGAGAAATTGGTGAGGAGTAGTTATCTTGTAAATTCTAATCCTCAAAGGGAATTTACAAAACACCTTTTGTAGATAAGCCCATGAACTTCACTTCATAAATCCACTGGCTACAAAAAAATCGTGGACTAAATATAGACATTGGCTTTATGGCACATTATGACACATGACCTGCCTGCCATCTGATAACCCCAGGTAACCTGTCTGCATTGTACCAGCTACATTTTTTCCTCTTCCCCATCCCCGCCTGCCCCTGCCACCCTTCTCTCACCTATTATCTCACAGGGCCTCTGATCCCTGCCTGCCATGATTTAGATAACTCTAACAATTTAAGAGTGCCATGAAAAGTTTGAAATGATTTACTCCATTTGAAATGGCATCTTTTAGAAGACTCTTCAATTTAGAGGGAAAAGAGGAGCTATTATGTCATTTGATTGATTCTCATAAGACATTTTGATATTGACAGCCTTCCATTCTTTACTTTTAGCCAGGTTAGCATTAAAAAATCACTTCCTCCAAAACTTTGTAAACATATAGGAACACAATCATCCATTTATGAACACAGAGAGTTCAATAGATAAATTGACAGTTTTGGATGTTTGGAACTGTTCCAGGCCAGACCTTAAGCCCTAAGCTAGATACATTTGATGGTTCCTGATAAAATAAAGAAAGTTGTGTTTCATTTTAAAAAGCCACAATACTCAATCCAACACAATTTGACACAGATGATTGTACCTACTCATGACTGAGCTAGTGACAGGCCTGGGTTGTACAATTATTTTTTCGGTGAAGTAAGAGATCAGATTAGTTTTTATGAAAGCACTGGATTTTAAAAACATACTGTACACAGCCTATGAAAGAAAGACAGCCTCCAGCTGTCACTGGCAGTCCCTGCCTTTCAATTACAACCATAAAAATTTGTTAACCAAAAACACTTCCTTTTTCTCCATTAAATATCCTCCTCACTAAGCCCAGTTGTAACTGCATTATTTTGAATGAAGAAAAAAGAAAGTGTATCCCAACTTCCTTACATGGAGTAGTGTTAAACATTCCTCTACTGAAGTTGGAAGTTAAGCAGTAAAACTCTGGTTTCTCTTCAAGTCGCATAAATCTTTTGCCTTTTACTTTGGTTTGATAGCTGAATAAGTAATTAAATATCATGGTTTTTTACAGTGGGTCTTAGGTCAAGGGTACTGTGGTTGTAACTAATCAGAGCAGCAAAAGAGATACATATCATCATCCTGGTTATTCTTGGTTTACAGACCATCACCAAGGCAGAATGAGATTAAGTGATTTATATAATATTAAGGATCATTATACCCATTATTTGTAGCTGAACAAAAAAACAAGAATGCAACTAATAAATGTCCGTTTAATTTGTACTAAGAATCCAAAAGATAAGTCTTCAGGAGTGTGGGGCAACCTTGGAGAAGAATAAATTTGCAGCCCAACATTACTAAATAATTTGGAAAGTTATGATAAATACAAGTTCCACAAGTATATATACATATATGTAAAACTGTTCCTGAAAAGGACACCAATTGGTAAAGGCACCTACTCCTGATTATGCCTGTCTGATGTGTTTATCACTGCATTAAGAAAAAAGGAGCACTGCTGTGGTCCAGCTAGGCTTGTATTCACCTCTACATGGTAATAGCCGAGGACATTCTGAATGGTCAAGTGGCAGTTGATTACAAAAAAAGATCAATGTGAGTTTCTGTAAACAAAGTGTTAAAAACCATTCAGACTAGTATTTGTTGTTTCATACAACAAGAAAAGTGAAGAGATAGTCAACTCATGATTAATGATGACCACTGGAACAGTAGTGTCCTTTACTTTCATCTATTGTCATAACGATCATGCCACTTCTACAATGTTCAGTACATTTACCACACACAAAGTCCCATTACCTGTTCAAATAAAATATATCTGTATTTCATTATTATTTCACCTAGGTATTAATCAGATTATGCTCTCAGTTGTTAGAGTGTAAAACAATAAAATTAAAATGTTCCTAGCATTCAACATACTTGTAGCATTGTCATACCAGCAATATGTAGGCAAAGGTAAATGCACATAAGCACAAAAGAATCAGAATATGGCCCCTAATTATTCAAACCCTTCACAATTTCATAATCCAATTTAGCATCCCAGCACTTGGACTTAATTATCAAATTACCTAACACATTTTTCATCATAGCGAGTGTGCTTTTACTTTATCAGTAAGAAATACCACATACGAAAACCAAGTCTCCTGCCATACATTATCCTACATTGCAAATGCCATCTGGAGTTATTTCCTTTGAATGATAATTATCATTTGGACAGCAAGAGAACTAATCTTTTAATTTCTAAAGAATTAAGAAGCCATGCAGCACAGAAGGTATATAATCTAGTTCAGCAACAGGTGCAAATTTTGGAGCCCACCCAAAATTCTCTTTAAACCTCTGAAAGATTTGTACATATGCAAAACTGGGTGCAACGTGGGGAATCAAAACCTGCACTGTGCAAAACAGATAAACATCATTTCCACTTCCATCTTTTTTCCAGTTTCAAGTAATAACAAGTACAGCATGAGTCCTGTTACCTACTGTCTTCTCCGTTTTCTCTTCAGATGGATCACATCGTTTTAGAACACCTTCAGCAGCCAACATGTCTGGAAGTGGATCAGTCTCACAAAGCCCTGAGGGTAAATGCTTGTGACTCCTCAAATCCTTATCAAAAGTGGCAGTTTGGAAATTACTATGCTAACTGAAGAGAACATGATCAAACACGAAACAGAGCGTTCTAATCTTGTGAATTCAAGAATGTCATCTGTAAGACTTGAAACAGCAATTACAAAGTTGGAGGTTCATTTCCCCATGGTAATTGAAATCCATAATTTAAACCAGCATATTGAAAGATGAACATATCAGGCAGCAGTACATCTGGTTTAATGATGTTTAAGACACGCAGGCATGTTTTTCACTCACTGGTGGGCATTTTGGGGAAGGCAGAATTAAAAAGGATGTCTTTTTTTCTGTAAATAGAATATTTTCCTAAATTCTTCATCTCATCATAAGCAGGCCTAAGACAATTTACTTCAGGAAGAAATGCAACCTATCTGAAAGAGTTGCAGAGCTTGAGCATTCTAACTGTAAGTACCAAGTGACCTGCTGTTTGGGAGATCTGCTTTTATTAGGGTCAGTTTTTCTACAAGCCAACAAAATGGGAGCATCATAAGACTAAAATTTATCCTAAATGCCTGTGTTCAGCCTAATAACAGCAGCTTGTTCCCAACCAAGTAGATTCATTGCTTCTGAAAGGTAAATGTCTGGACCCATTTTTTTAAATTGGTTTCCTTTGACAAATACCTTTTTTCTAACCACAGGAAACAAAATCCTTAAATGCCTTAAAAGTTACAGCAAGCTAGACCGTGTATGGACTGTACTTATACATAGAAGGAACTTGAATTTGCTACCTTGATTTTTTTCTTCTGCTTCCCAGATGAGGAAGAAAAAGTCTGTTTGAAAAAGCCAGCCTATTTAACCTGTAGGTGGGAGTTGCCTCATATATACCTCTACAGCTAACTTTCTGGTCAGTACTGGAGCACCATCAATGCAGTAACTTTTAAAGAAACTCTCCTTCCAACCCTCCTCACAGAAAAGGAAGTTTGTCACAGTAATAAAACATGAAAATGGTGAGTGGTAAGAAGGTGCTGGTGATTGGGGTTGTGAGTCTAAGCGCTCCTTCACCAGGAAAACAATTATCAGACCTGCAGTGACTGGCTCTTCACTAACAGTGAATCCAGTCTAACAACTATGCACTGCTGGGCATGATTTCTTTGCATCCTAGATTGGATATGTTTGAAGCAACAGTGAAACAAGCTGGCAACAGCTGAGAAACTTGGAAACTATTTTAATAGCCAGTTCTATTTTCACACTACTCTGAAAAAAATGGAGTGTTTGTTTTGCTTAGTAGAACAAAAGATGTTTTCATGGACAATCTGAATATGCCCATGCATCTAAGATATTTCATTTTAGGTTTTCATGAATGTGGTCACTTGTTAAAAGGGTAACAAAAGTGCAGAATTCTGATGAATCTATTGTCGAATCTATTGTCTATTGGGAACAGTCATATTACATTTTTAAGATAATTTTATTGACTGAATTATACCTGGTCTGTGATGCACACCAGGTATTATTATGTTAGGGTGAATCCTGCCCTTCCTTGAAGGAGCTGTGCATTACTGAAAGCAGTGTGCTAGGCTAGGGACAGACATTACACTGGTTTAAGTGATCAAAAACTGGTTTAAACCTATAAGAGAACAGACATCTAGTGCCAAAACTGGTTTGAGATAAACCTGGTTGAATGCACCATCAGACTTAACTGATTGAACTCAAACAGGTTTATGCAACATCTGTCCCAGACCCCTTCCTGGTTTAAGTTAAACTAGAGTCCTTCAGAATCCCAGCATGCTCTCTGAGCTGGGCTGTGCTCTCTGTTCCAGAAAGCAGGGCTGGCCCTGCCCCTCTGCTCTCTAGCCTGAGCAGGGACTGGACATGGCAAGATACCAGTCAGCATGGCCCCATTAAGGCAAAGTGAGCAGGGAGGGGGTTAATTTTTCCCTCCTTCCCCTCCTCCCCCACTGCAGTTGGGTCTGTATATCTACTGGGGAGCAGAGGGGAGGGGGCTGCAGTGGTGGTCTCTAGGTCTGGCAGACCCTGGCTGCAGGGCAGAAGGGACAGAGGGAGAAATTAACCCTTCTCCCTACCCCCTTTGCCTTAATGGGGCCAGGCTGGGATGGCATCTGGCCACATCCCTGCTGATGGAGCAGTGAGGGGATGGGGAGGGACATGAATACCCTCCAAATATCTGAGTGCCTAGGAGGGGTTTTATCCCCCCGTCCTCTCTTCTCTATTCCACCGGCAGGGACTGCAGCCCTTCTGGCATGGCCCCATTAAGGCTAAGGGGGCAAGGAGGGGATTCAGTCCACCCCACCCCCAGGAGACTGGAGCTGGGGCAGAGAAGCCCCCTTCCTCCCTGCCCTCCCCACCATGGGGTGGGGAGAGCTGCTATGTAGGGGGCTGCCCACCCCCAAAGGGGGACTCTTTCCCCTGTTCCTCCCCCCCCCAGAGTGGGGAGGTGTACTGTGCAGTGCTGGAGGGGGGCTCCTCTTCCTCCCCCTCCGTCCTTTCCCCCACTGCTGTGGGGCAGGGAGGGGGGCTCTGTGAGGCTGCCCAGCCCCAGAGGGGGACTCTTCACCCTTAACCTTTCCCTGTCCGGAATTGTGCCCAGGCTCCTGGAACTGCTGCCCAGCCTGGCCCGCCAGATCAGTCCCGTTCCGGACCTCCAGGTTGACATGGCCTCATGGAGGGCTGCCTAGGCCTGTGCCACCCCCGTCTGGGTCAGCCGCTGATTGGAGGGGTTGCTGGGCACCGACCCCAGGGCCCCGCATACCTGCCAGGACCCCTCAAGATAGCCCTGGCCTGCTTCTCTGCCCCAGAGAGGGGCTCTATGAGGTGCTGTCTGGCTTGGCCTGGCCCAGCCACACCAGGGCCACCCCCAGGCACTGCAGCTTAGTGGCAGCTAGCCAAGCAGCTAGCCAGGCACTAGGCTACCAGGGCCAGTTTGGAGGCACTGTAGGGGCTTCTGGGTCTGCAGTGAGCTGCTGTGGTGGGCAGCTGCTGGGCTCTGAGCCTGCTGGCACTTCTGAGCCAATCCAGGTAGCTTGCTGCCCTGCCAGCTACCAGCTGTGCATGCTGGGCCGGGCTGTGCTTTCTGACAGGGCTCAGCCTCCCTGTCACCAAGCTGCATCGGCTGGGGTGGCCCTGCCCCCATGGCTTGGCTGGGCCAGGTTGGGCCAGGCAGTGCCACACAGAGACCCCCTCCCTGCCCTGTGGTGGTGGGGGAAAGGGAGGAGGGGGAAAATTTACTCTTTGGGGCACAGAGCCATCAGCTTACACAGGGAGTTTGCAGCTGATATGGGACT